ATATTTTGAGTACTTATGGTTACTGTTAAGTATCTGTCCCTAATTGTTCATAGAACACATTAAATCTTAACTTCAGAATGGCATTTATGAACTTCTGAGTTTCAGGTATGCATCTAAGGGTTCCAAAAATGGTCATCTATAATTTTTATAAAGCCCACTTTGTTTCAGTATTTCTACTGAACTGAAATGTCCGTCCTTGAACTAATACTGAGAACAAGGATTTCAATGCAATGGATTGCTTGGACCTGAATTTTGTGTTCCAACTCTGAATTTGGGGAAAAGAGCTTCTACTCAACCACAAACTAGAAAAAATGAAAAACAGATTCTCCAAAATTATACCAAAAATGGAATGAAAATAAATCAGACCATCTATTGCAATTCACCATTCATTCTACAGAAAAAGTGTGTGGGGGGATCAGTTCACGAAACTTAACTGTGAAAAATGAAAGGACAACTAACAGGTATGAAAATATGAGGAGAAAATGTTAATCTCTACAAAACTATTACTTGAGAAGGCAAGGATCTATACTAATAGAAGCTGACATAAACATAAATGAAGAAAGACACAAGCCAAATAAAAGGAGGGCAAAGATGAGGGTGAACATACCACAGGTAATAACAGGTCAAGAATTCAAAAAGTATTTAATTTTGTTTAATGCAAATTTTATAGGAAAGAAAAGATTGGCTAATTTCACCATGAAAAAGTTTTTCCAGCCAGATATGGTGGGGCACACCTGTAATACTAGCACTCTGGGAGGCTGAAGCAGGAGGATCTCAACTTCAAGCCCATCTTGGGAAACTTAGCAAGCCCCTGACCTACAATACAAAATAAAAAAGGATGTAGCTCAGTGCAAATACCCTTGTGTGTAATCCAGCAGGGGTTCCTCTCAAGCTGCAAATATTTTGAGAAGGGCTACAGGCTAAGAAAAATACTTAAAACAGAAAGAAATCATCAAGAGCAAATACAAGGAGGAAAAGTGGGCACCAAGATTGCAAGCTTAAGTTTGCAATTAATAACAATCCTTAATGGAACGTGATCACCTATGTAATGTTAGCTCACTATCAGAAAAAACACACAAAAAAATTTGTACCAGGAAAAGTTCACTACTAATCAAATAGTTCTTTGATAATGAACTACTACTGCACAAGTACTTTCCTCTCAATTTATAGACTAGAATTCAAATTGTATCCTATTTTATAATTGTCATTTTCTCCGCATTCAGTTCAGCTAAGTTTTCTGCTAACAATGATGCTGATGATTCACCATCTGATGAGAGTCAGATGGACCATCCTGAACTGCTGTAATATGAAATCATCTTCAGAGTACATTTCTTCATTATTTTTGTTCAAATGGCACATGTAAGGGTGAAAAAGAACTGCAAATCTGAGGCCTTCCTAAGCCACATAGAGACCTATCCCCTCAAAAAAGGGCACTTTTTTTTATATGATAAAAGAGCCAAATTTCAGTTCTGCAGATTCAAGAGAAAGTTCTTGACTGCTATTAATACACTAATAATGTAATAAATGCTGAAGTTTATTTCAGTAACTGAATATGCCTTAACAGCTCTTCAAAGTACCTTTACTCCTACATATATAAACTCACTATAGTCTAAAAAGGCCACTTAAATTTTCCACTTTTTAAAAGAGAAATTTATATCCCATAATACAATGACTCAAATTTTTCTTACCCTAACACTCAGTGAGAACTATACTGCACATAATTACATACACATGTAATAAGTGAATTGAATCACACAAACGTTATCATCTTCATTTTCATGATAGGTTCTATTATTTCCTATTTTAGTTGGTTTTGCCTGCCTGTTTTTAGCGTTTTTGTCTGTTTTGACTTGAGATAGAAGCCAGAACCTTCTCAATGAGCTATATCCACAGCCCTTTTTATTTGAAGACAGGGTCTGAATAAGTCACTAAGTTGCCCAGGCTAGGCTCAAACTTCAGATCGTCCTGCCTTAGTCTACCAGAGTGCTGGGATTACAGGTATGTGTAACCACATCTGACTCCATTTTAGTCTTTAATAATTCAGAAAATATAGTAGCAAAAATGTTTCATTTTTAGTAACTAAATGTGATATATAGCCTTCTTAAATTATTGTGTTAAGGACTATGACACAACATCTAAATTCATTGAAGTATGTAACATATGCATGGTAACAGAAAGGAGATGGTACTCGTATCTGCTATGATACTAAGGGAAGCAATGATACCAAGTTATGATATTATAATTATGTGGTTAAGTCTTTCTTTGAATTAAATCATGAGCTCCTAGAGACAGTCACACTAGTTTGACAAAAATAGGCAATCACATATTTACTAAATAGTAAATTTACTTAATGTAGACCTTATTTTCTATCAAGAAGATAATTAAAAGTTAAACCTTCCCAAAAGAAGCTTATAATTCACTTGTAATCACATATTTCTGCTGCAACTTGAAAAATTACCTTTTGTCAAGCTAGAAAAGGTCACTTCACATACATGGAAAAGCCAACCCAGAGAAAGTAATTATACAACAAAACAAATAAGTCAGAACAGAAGAAAGAAGTCATCATTCAAATAGTCTAGATTCAGGGTTCAAGTTAAATGGTTAATATTACAAAAATTTGAAAAAAGCTTCCTATGAATGCCAATGTATGCAACATCAAGCTAAATAACACTCACTCCTACACTGTAGCACCTCTACTTATAAAACTGTTATAATTACCTGTAACTTAATAATACTTTCAATCTTTTGTATGAATTATTAATGCAAATGATGAATCCTTAAAATGGTAACCAATTCTGCAAGTACAGGTAAAGTTACTTTTAAGTATGTCAGGAGATAGGGCCAGGGATTTAGCTCAGTGGCTCCTCACTTGCCTCACAAGCACAAGGTCCTGAGTTCAATCTCTGGTACTGCAAAAGAAAAAAAAAAAAAAAAAAGAGAGAGAGAGAGAGGGAGAGGCCAGTGTATGTTCCTGAAATTAGGTATGTGACTTTATTAAATCAAATGTTCTCAAAGACAACAGGACATGCCCACCCTAACTTCCAATTCTGGTATGTCTTCTTGGGATGAAGAGGAAGTGGTTAGGGATAAAAACATTTATCTCATAAGAATGAAACAACTGCTTCCCTCCAACTTACTCAATTTAAGAACCACTAGAGTAACGGGACATCTGGCACATGCCTTTAAATCCCAGAACTCTGAAAGGCTGAGACAGGATGATGGCAACTTCAAACCCAGACTGTGCAACCGAACTTAGTGAGATCTTGTCTTAAAAAAACAAAAACAAAAAAAAACGCTGCGGGTGTAACCTTTGCTACAGGCCCTGGCTTCAAGTGGGGGGCCCAACCACTGGGCTAAGCACATGCATTCAAACCTACAAAACTGACTTTCTAATTCGTTGCACAGAAAGGACTAAACTGATATTCTGGAGATAGGAGTTTTCATTCACTGATGGTGGTGGGGGCATATATGTTCGTTTAATTTGAAACAAAGTTACATAATTGACTCAATGGGAATATAATTTTAATTAATGGGAGTATAATTTTATTCCTTAAAAAAATAAGTATCAGGTGCTCCTCTGTCCTTCTGCAAGTGTCTATAACACAGCCCATGTACACTGAAACTCCGATGGTGTCTGGCAGACAGCGATGGCAAGTACTGTACCTGTACCTGTTGATGACTCAATGAATGAATTCCCTAGCCCTATTTCTCACACCTCTTATGCTATTTTAGTACCTATAAAGATGTCCCATGTTTCTTTTTTCTTTAACTTACTCTAACCTGAAATATAAAAGGTGGCTTAAAAGAGAACTAAACTCTACAAACCCCAATTTGTTTTAGTGGCTTTTACCTTATCATGTGGCACTAATAATTGAGTAATTGTACAAACACCTTTTAGATCCAATCATGAACTGTTTAATTATTTATAAATATCAAATATACTCGTTTCAATAAAATAAATTAATTCTGAATCCAGAATAATTTAAGACAAAAGTAGAAACGTTTATGCAGACATCACTGCATTCCTGCAGGAATTAAAAACTATTAATCCAGAACTCCCCAAATAGTTCCAATTTCTAGCCCTATTACTTTTAATAACACCAACTCTGACCATCTTCAACCCTAGAGTGAATCAAAATTTCCCACACCACATCACAAAATCAGTCAATAATTTATTCCAGCAGAAAGGCCCCAAACCGTACCAGTTCTTAATCAGCCAAAAGCAATTACTTTCTCATAATCCTACCAGTATCTAAAACCTAACAAAAATTCTAAAACATTCTCTTCAAAACAATCAATGCTCTCACTTAATATAACAACAAAATGTCTATACTTAGCATTTCTCAAGTTGGTCCACTGGAGACAGGCAAATGGTAATAAGCATGGCTCCTTGTTTCAAGTTATTCGTTTGAAAAGTAGAATTATTCGTGAACAGACTGTCTACAGTATCCTCAACAGATTTAAAAGTGGCCTACCCTTTGGGAAGAGACATATGCATACAAGTGAAGGCTATTTAAAGATTATTTCTCCTTAAAACATCCAATCTCACGTTTAGATCATCTGCCATATTAAAATAAGCAAATTTTAACCAGCAATCCTCTCTCTCAGCAACCCTGGAAGCTGAGTCCTCAAGACTACAAATTTAATCTGAACAAGCACAGTGGACCAACTGGGTGCTTAATTCACCAGATAACCCAAATAACTTAAAACCTAATCTCCTTGCCCAAATTTCCCCATAACCGTTTGATTTTCTCTGCCCCTTGTTATTACCTGAACTCCCTTCACCGCCTGCACACTAGCACTTAAACCAATCACTGCTTTTATTAGCCCCATTTCTCCACTTCCAAACCAGAAGACCGAAGGTCTCAGCAAATTCTGAACAGGCGCCCCCAAGAACACCAGTACCCCAAGTTGTCGATCAGCCACGCAACATCAGACCCCACCAGCCTAAGCAGCAGTAACGCGCAGCCGAGCTGGCAGCGACTGCTCTTACAACCCACCAGACGAAGTCGTTGCTTTTGTCCTCGTAGGAGTTGATGAGCCCGTTGCAGAGGGGGGCGAGCAGAGGGCGCTTCCTGCTGCCGCCGCCGCCGCCGAGGTTGGAGCT